CTTTGCCCAGCAACAGACCTCCATCCACTCCAGAGGGTGCTGCAAGAGAGCACCATGCAGCGACCTATTTTGCTATCCTTCGCAGGCTAAGAAAAAGAAGGGACCATCAGATGGCTCATAAATAAGGCTGCGAGACTGTCACAGAAGTCACGGATTCCATGACTTTCCGGGACCTCCATGACCGCTGCAGCAGCCAGTGTGGCTGACCCCAGGGCCGTCCCGGGGCCAGCCACCCTGAGTGGTGCTGGAGGCTGCCTGAGCAGTGGTCTCTGGGGGCCTCGGAGCAGCGGGCAGCCAGGGGTAGTCAGCACCCGCCGCCAGAGCAGGGGCCAGCTGTTGGTCCCCGGGACCCCGCTGAGCAGCTAAGATTTAGTCAGGGATATTTATAGTAAAAGTCATGGACAGGTCACAGGCCGTAAATTTTTGTTTATAGCCCATGGCTTGTCCATGACTTTTATTAAAAATACCATGACTAAATCTTAGCCTTACGCATAAGCAGGATCATCGCCCTGAAGCTGGTTTCCACAGCATGGTCACGTGAAGGATGGGTATTGGGGGTATTTTCCAACCACTTGTAAATGGTCTTTCTAGACCCAGGTATGGGTAGGCTTCAACCACCACATCTGAAGCATCAGGTCTTGGCTATTCCGGGTGGTAGGATGCCAGACTAGATAAGAATAGCCCCTTCCATCCAAGGATCCCAAAGGGTGTTACAGACATTAATGAGTTATGCCTCACCTCTCCCAATGGTTTGCATATTACCTTCATTTTACAGATGAAAAAACTGAGGCACAAAGAGGTCAAGTGATTTGCCCAAGGCCATACAGCAATTTGGTAGCAAAGCCATGGCCAGAACCCAGAAGTCCTAACTCTCAGCCCTGTGCTGTACCCACAACACGATGCTTCCAGGTGGATCTATGGCTGATTGGATTTCTGATCAATCATTCCGACCTCTGAGGCAAAACGGTTAGATTACACTGACTGTCGGCTGGCATTTCCGCCTTTGCAAGGTGACTAGTTCATTCCCAAACCCTGTGTCCCACCCGGCAGTCACAAGCAGTGCGAGCGGTTATGGATCAGCCTGTCTCACAGTCACAAAAATGACCAGCTAGGAACAGACCTAGCCAGCCTGGCCTCTTCCTGCATTTTCCATTGCTTTCTATAGGAGCCAACAGCTTTCATTAAAAAAGTACCTGGCTCCCATTCCCACCTCCTTCCGTGGCGGGGCCAGTCCTGTGAATCGGGGAACAGTCTATAGTTTAGACTGGACTTTCTCTGCCCTGTGCTGCTCGCTCCAACCTGCTCCCTCCCCCTTAGCTTCACACCACACCTGCCCCTCTTACCCTCTTTTCCCCTGCCCTATCCTCTTCACCCCTTTTTCTTCCTTTTCCTTCCATTTAGCTGATCTCCTCCTAAGTATCCCCCCCTCCAATGGAATTAACATGCAATTTGCTGCCATCACATGGTTCGCTCTGCTTGTGTGTTCTGCCCGTTCGCCCACCTGTCTGTTGTGTCTGCTTAGACTGTAAACCGCTCAGAAGCGTCTGCTACTCTGTTTCTAGAGCTCCTAGCACAATGCCCCCCCCCCAACCCCTCCCCGTTCTTGGCTGGCCCTTAGGCACTACCATAATAAACATGATTAATAGTAATGTTCATGACCTAGTCACCCAGCCTCCCTCTAGCTAAGTTATAGCTGTATCTACAGAAAAGCTATCTCTAGCCCCTGTTGCTCTAACGAGGCGCTAATGTCAAAGGCTCCCTGAGTACATTTAAATGCGGATTTGACATACAGCCTCTGGTCAAGGGGAAAAGCCACCCCTTGCACAGAGCTGTGACTTGCTCAGGGCCCCACACGGATTTGGCAGCGTCCTGGTTTCCTGTTTTAACCCCTAGACACCAGTGCCTCCCCATACCTTAACTATTGATACAGACTGCTGCACCAATTGCATATTATGGGCTGCTATGGTGCTCCCATCCCCAAAATCTAAGGTGATACCTTAGCCATGGGACTGCAGAAGCCCTTTGAGTCAAGATCGGAGCTTTGATCTTCCACACTGCTGCCTGATGGTGCATCAATTGAATTGATTCATTTAGGGTATATTCCTTATTTCATTTGACTTCCCACTGGTTATATCTATGGAGTATAAATATAACTTGGTGGGAAAATCCTACAGAACATCCCTATTTTGTGTGTCAGCAATCTGATTTGCAGGGCTGGAAGAAACAGATAGAAAATCCTGTTTGGGTTTTGGTCCCAAACCTATAGAATTCAGGAGAATATTAACCCTGATTTGAACACAAGGTCATCATCTCTTTTTAACCTTTCTGCAGGTGGCCTTGTAAATGGGGAAGTCATTGAGTCATTGCAAGTCTGACAACAATGCCACGATAACAACTATTTATACAGATCATTTCACATTCAGTGCAAGGTCCTATTGCCAAGACTTAAAAAGTATATAAATGAAGGACCCGATCCTGCAATCATTATTATATGTATATTACTGAGCTAGTATTAAAATAGACAGACATAAGTTAGGAACTTCAGACAGTTTGAGAACAAACAATTCCCACTTTGTCTAAATGGGGTCCAGCAAATTGCATAGCTGATAATGATACTTACCTTCCTTGGTAAAGTGCTTTGAGAACTCCATATAGGAGTTTTCCATATAGGAGCTAAATAATACTATACAAACAACGTTTTCTTCAATCATTTCCTTAGGGGAATTGAAAGAAAAGAGAGGAAAGAGTGCACATATAATCCTCCCAAGGCCACAATAGAACCTAGTGCTAGTTCTCAGAGTGCTAGTTCGTCTGTCTAAGCCACTATTACCATAATATCTGGGCACCTCACAGTTTTTACTGTATTTATCCTAGCAACAGCCCTCTGAGGTAGGCAAGTGCTATTGTGTTAGATATTACCCTATTGTGACACAGAGGGACTAAGATACTTTTCCAAAGTCTAGGCAGGGCAGGCAATGAAACTTAGGTCTCTGGACTCCTAGGTTAATGCTCTAACCACTGGACCATCCTTCTTCCTGGTACAATATCTTGCTCCCATTTACACAGGATCCTTTCCATATTTCCTAGCTTGTTCCTCTTGTGTAGCAAATTCAGTTCTTTTGCCTTTTTTAAGGAACCAGTGATGCTTTAACAACATAGGGGACATGCCAGGAGCAACCCAGGATAGGCAAAGATGGTGGAGCCCTGTTCATGCCCTAAGAGACATTTGGTAGTGCAGGAATAATTCAGAATGATCCTCTGGGGGGAGAACTTTTTTTTTTCCTGAGCAGCAGATAAATCCCTTAGCTCCTTACCAACAGCAAAAGAAAAATGGACAAAGAACCATGAGGGAAAATCAGAACCCAGAAAATTAAATCAAACCAGTCGCTAAAGCTTTCATTCACCCAACAACCCCACAGCATGTCTCTGAGGGAGACACATTGCTCCATTTCCATTGACGTCAATGCAGTTTTTGCCTGCGACAGGAACTTAGGTTAACTTCAAACACTAAGTTATATCTGGATGTACATAGAGACAGAGCTTCCTCTTGACTTCACTGGGAGCAGAGCGAGGCCAACACTGAATCCCACTCAGATTGCGTGTGTGTGTGTGTGTGTGTGTGTGTGTGTGTATATAACACATGTGGTTATAGTTTACAGCCTGATTCTACAATTGTTATTCAAGCAAAATCCCACTAGTTCCAATGCGTGCTCTGCATAAGGACTGCCCTGATATGATTTGATTTTAATACCTTACAAGCTTCGGTAAGGCAGGGACTGTCTTGTTATGCATTTGTCCAGCACACAGAACAATGGGGTTCTGAACCTAGCTGGGCCTCCAGATGCTACCGCAATGCAAATAATAATATAATCGTGACAGTGAAACAGCTCTGAGCTGGATGTGAACTGCATAAACAGTTAGGTATAGTTACTGAAGTGGTGTTATTGACAGAGCTGCAGTGACTCATGCTCATGTACAAGTCTACCTGTAAAACAGGTTAAAGAGTCACCCATGCTTAAAAGGTGGCAGCGCAGAGCAATTCTGTCCATTTGAGACAGAAATGAGGAGCAGATCCTTTCGATTTGTTTTGGTCTCTGTTCTCAGAACATTTTCAATGTTTTGCCCCATAAATTTGCCAATGCGGATATTGCCAAGCCACATTTTGGAAAGTCATCATTACCCAACAGCTGACGTTCTCCGACTCAACTCAACTGCGCTGCCATTAAGCATTGCCTGGCCTGTCTCGGGTCTCTTTAACATGGAGTACATTTGCCTATATGGATGGGAGGAGATAATGGCAATGAAGCTAGGCAAGTGCTGTGCAAGCTTCCCACCCATCACTCTGCCATTGCACCTCAATCCTCTGCATCCCACCGCTATTGCAGTCCTGCCCCCTCCCCGCCCCTCCAAACTCCACCAACACACTTCAGTCCTGACCTGCTGCAGCTCCCTTTGCTATTCCAGTCCTGGACTCCCTCCCCCACACACACATACACTGCTCTGCTGGTGCATCTCACTTCTGTCCTGCAGTCCTCTGGTATTCCAGTCCTGGACTCTCTCCCCCACACACACATACACTGCTCTGCCGGTGCATCTCACTTCTGTCCTGCAGTCCTCTGGTATTCCAGTCCTGGACCCCCTCCCCCACACACACATACACTGCTCTGCTGGTGCATCTCACTTCTGTCCTGCAGTCCTCTGGTATTCCAGACTGGGCGGGCGACAGGCAGACAGAGACACACATGCTCCACCAGTGCACCTCAGTTCTGATCTGCAGCACTAGATACTAACTCAGCGCCGAGCATCTCCTGAGCAAAGACTTGGCCGGTGTTGACACAGATTTGAAATCAAGTCCCCAGAGATTAAACCTTGACTGGCCCATGTACCTCTCCCCCTCCCCTTTTTAAAGGAACCTGACAGGATACAAGAATTATAATCAAAACAGAAAGGAATTTAAAAGAGACACGTTAAACCCCAGTTCATAATAGAGACCTTGTTACCTGAATTGAGCCTCAGCGACGGTCTACGCCCCTCTCTGGCCCTGCGCCGATGACGGTCTGGTGGGTCACTGCTGTTCCCAGAGGCCATGGTGGAGGGGAGCTTGGGGAGAGGGGATCAGCTTTACCCTGCAGAGGGAGAAACAAGGGAAGGCAGGGTGAACAAGGCAGGACGCTGAACCAGATTGCTCAGGGAAGGGCTCTGGGGAGCTGCAAGCTGTGACCAGTCTGGTGATGCCAGAGGAGACAACTGGAGACTCAAGGTCTGTTCTGTGGCCTTGGATCCTTACACACCTCCAGGGACAGTGTTAGGCCCCAAGATAATTCTTCTTTAGCGTTTCTCCTCTTAGCACCTCCCGCTTTCCTTTATCTCTGCACATCTGACAGCCTCCTGGCTCCTCCCCTCCCTATCCCACTCTCAAATCCCCACCCACACCAAGGTTCCTCCATCTCTCTGGCTGGATAGCATTAGTTCCCTCCAACACATCCTCAGGCTCCTCCTCCATCTACAGGATCACTCCCATGCCCACGAGTCTTTATCATGCTCAGGACAATGAGATCCCCCTAGCACTCTTGTGAAGCACCTCACGACCACACACAAAGGTGCTCCTCCACGGGCTGCATGCTCACCCGATACCATCTGGACTGAACTTGCCTTCAGCAAGGCTAGTTACCATTCCAGTCTGTACCATTTAGTCCCAGTGTGGATGGAGGTCACTGGTGTCGTACCACAACTGGTTCCAACAGTCCTACGTCTAGCGCACTGGTGACCTTTCAAAATCTGCTGCAATGCATTGCTTTTGGGGAGCTGTGCCGCAGAAACTGGGGGGACAGTTTCCCAGAAGGCACTGCAACCGTGACGATTTAGAGCGGTGCGAGCGCAGATGCAGAGCAAGCTCTTAAAATGGTTCTGCACAACCAGCTGGGATGCACTGAACTGGTTCAGTGTCCTAGTGTAGAGATGGCCATTGTATCCCCAGGAGAGGTTTGAGCTGTTTTCGCCTCTCAAGTGCACCCAAACAGTATGCCTATCCTGGGTCTTATTAGTTCCCCATTTCTCTTTATTCCGGAGCTACTATTTCCTCCTGTTCGTCATCTCACAGATGCCCTTAAAAAAATAACTATGATTAAAAATTCATTAGAACCCAAATCCCTGACCGCCCAGTCATCCTAAACCCAGGCCCAAATTTTACATCTAGTGCAAATCTCTAACCACAATGCTTAGCATGTATACAGCTCTTTATCAACACTTTATGAACCTGCCTGCCAGGTAGGTATTCACTCAGCTTTTGCAGTGGGGGAAACTGAGTCACGGAGAGGGCTTGCCTGAACTTGCGTGCCGAGTCGATTTCAGGGCTGGGAAGAAAACACAGCTAGTTCCTAGTCGCCTGCTCAGTGCAGGGGTTCCCAAACTGTGGTCCATGTACCACTGGTGGCACATGAGCTTGTTGGAAGTGGTACATTGTATCCCTGGAAGCGGTACTGGGATAGAGGCCTGTTCCATGAAATGGCCCCTTTTAGGCAAGATATTCAGGGGAGCGGCAGACTAACTGAGAAAGCGGGGGGGGAGGGGGAGGTGTTGATCAGGTGTCTACCTCCTTAAAATGATAAAACCCAGGTGTCAGGTGACCCCCAGGAGGAGAGAGGCAGACAGCCTGAAGAGGAGAATTACAGGGGAGCATCAGGTCAGGAGAGAGGCTCCCTGGGCTGGGAACTAGAACCAGAACAGAGACTAGTGGGCTGGGGAAGCCTGCCTGATTCACAGCCCACCCCAAGGAGGCAGGTTGTGGGATTCCTTAACCAAGAGGAAAGAGTTGTGAGTCCACTTCAGAAGGCCTGTCAGAGGCCAGGGTGTTTAGTGGGATCGGCAAAGCTCCCTGGGCAGGGAACTGGGAGCCTTCCCAACATTCCCCCACCTCCCTAGCTCCCCTCTGAGGCTTTGTCTACACTGGCACTTCGATGGCAAAACTTTTGTCGTTCAGGGGTATTTAAAAAACATCCCACCTAGAACGACAAAAGTTTTACCGACAAAAAGCTCCCTGCCGACAAACAGCAGCTACACTGCGTGCCTTTTAGTGGCACAGCCATGTCGCTAAAAGCCTTGTAGTGTAGCCATGGCCTAAGCCTTCCCTGCTCATTTACACACCATTAGACCTGGGCAGGAAGTGTTTTTTCCATCTTTCCAGGATTTCAAAACTTTCCTCCAGACAAACTGAACTTGTTTGCAAAATAATAACTACAGTAAATAAATAAAAGTGACTCACCCGCCCTAAAACAGCCAACAGCATAGTGGTTAGGGCACTCACTGGGCCATGGGCAATCCTAGTTCAAGTTTGTGATTCCCCCCTCCATCCTCCTCCCACCCCCGCTCCCTAATTTTATCAGAAATTCCTTCCTGGACCTAGAAACTTCTACGTTGCTGTGACAAGTCTTGGGTTTTTGACACATTTTTGTTAGAAAACATCACAACGTTTCGGTGAAAAACTCCCAACCTGCTCTAAACCTCACGTCCTCTAACCCTCCCAAAGGGACTCCCCTAGCCAAACTCCCTTCTCTTCTAATTCCCCCAGGCAGATCTTCACCAGCCACATACAAAACTTATTTGACTAAGTGTCTCTAAATATCTTAATTAACCCTATTAAGACCTAAACCAAGAGGATTAATGTGCCTCTGGTACTTCAAACATCAGTTCTTCAGGAAGGTGTCATGTGAACAATAAAGTCTGTGAACTACAGCACTAGTACACACTCCTGGGCCAGATTCTCAGTGGCTGTAAATCAGGGTTGCAGTGTCTTCACTGGAGCTACCGAGGCATCTTTAAGGTGCCACCGGACTCCTCGTTGTTTTTGTGGATACAAACTAACCCAGCTACCCCCTGATATTTGAGGCGTACAGTAGCTGAACATCAACATTTGGGAAGGCAGTGTGGCCTAGTGTAAGTTGTACTGTACCTCAATTAATAATGAATATTATATTGGTTATTTCTGTCTGGTATTGGTTAGCCATGTAAAATTAAGTTACTTAGTTTTGGTGGGTGCCCTTAAACAGGTTGGATAATGATGCACTGCCACAATTAGATGCTGTGCATAGCCAGTCCAGGGCTATGACCCTGTTTTCCAAGCCTTACAGAATATTGTCTCCAGAGGCAGAAGTCCAACAACAGAGGTGTGAAATACAATCCATCATTCACCTCAACGAGGTGGCAATGGTGGGGGGAGGTGGGACCTAAGGGGATGCAAAGCTTACTTATCAACAGGGCTTAGGAAATTGCTGAATGCTCATTTGCATCTCAATGCTCAGAAGACAATGCCAGCTGACAGGTACTCCTTGCTAGGTGCCTTGGGAACAAACAGAAAGTTTGGACTGTTCCTGTAGGGCAGTGGTTCCCAAACTTTAACAACTTGTGAACCCCTTTCACTAAAATGTCAAGTCTCATGAATCCCCTCCTAAAAATGAATATTTCCAGGGATTTTCTCCTTTACCTGAGTATAAATGATAAAAAGCAGTGATCTTGGAAATATAAAATGTGTTTTTATGACATGCTTATTACACACTATTTATTATCAATTATTATTTATCATCATTACAGTATTTTTATTACATTATGAAAAGAGCAACACTCTTCCAAGATCTCACTTTCGTAGCTTGTATCACTTTGAATAAGCCTGTTATAAGACAAGGCTCCTATGTTTCATCAAGGAGTATCAGATGTGAAACAGCATAAAGGTATTTAAGAAGCCAACTCAAAGAGTTCCTGCTACACAAGCATTCAGGTCTTGAGCAGTCCAGGCTAACAACGCATGTTACAACAAAGCTTAAACTTGTTCTTCATAATAATTTTAAAAACAATACTAGCTGCCTATTTATTTTAAAAACAGCAAAAAATATCCACCTCCCTTTCCATTTCTTATAAGGAGTTTTGAAGTTTAAATCTCCTCCGTGTGATAGATCTGCTTGCTTTGATCTGCTTAGCTCTTGGAAGTCCAGAGGCTCCAGGCTGCTGGCCCCGTACTGCCTGGGGTCCTTATGGACAGCTCTGTCCGCCATTAGGGAATTTTTTCCCAAGAACCCCCTGTAACACTTTGTGAACCCCAGTTTGGGAACCACTGCTGTAGGGTGACTGGTTTCAGAGTAGCAGCCGTGTTAGTCTGTATCCGCAAAAAGAACAGGAGCACTTGTGGCACCTTAGAGACTAACACATTTATTTGAGCATAAGCTTTTGTGGGCTATAGCCCACTTCATCGGGTGACTGATGGTCTTTCCTATATGCCATCCCCTTTTTCCCCCCCAACTTCAAATGTGCCCAGTGAGGGTGGTTCAGTTGGACCCATGGCTTCCTCTTTCAGCACTACTTCAAGAGGGCTAAGGAGAAGGGAAAGGCTGTGTAGGGGATGGGAGGATTAGAGCTGGGATGCAGAGTACAGCATGGAAGGAGGGCTGGCCTCACCGCTCCCCCCACGAGGGCTAGTCTCCCTAACCCTCTGCCTCCTGGCTGCAATCCTGAGTGACTAACCTCCCCCTGCTAGTTTCTGCTCTGGAGCTTGGGTGGAAATGAAGCAGGCTGCCTTCGAATTTAGAGTCCCCATCATCTGAGTGAGGAAAACCTTCAGTTACCTCCCTCACGCCCCAGCCAGTTCTACAAAGGTTTATAAGGTGCTTTTATAGAGCTTTTTCACGTGAAGGGCTCAAAGTGTTTCACAAGGGCATGCGAGCATCATTATCCCCCTTTTATAGATGGGGAAGCTTAGGCACAGAGACGGGAAGTGATTTGCCCAAGGTCACAGAGTGGGTCTGGCAGAATGAGGAATAGAAGCCAGCAGTCTCAACTCCCTGGCTCTAGTCTAGACCAGCAGTTGCCAACCAGGGGTAAGCGTACCCCTGGGGGTACTCAGAGGTCTTCCGGGGGTACATCAACTCACTCAGGTATTTGCCTAGTTTTACAACAGGCTACATAAAAAGCCCTAGCGAAGTCAGTACAAAGGAAAATTTCATACAGGCAATGAGTTGTTTATCCTGCTCTATATGCTATACACTGAAATGTAAGTACAATATTTATATTCCAATTCATTTATTTTATAATTATATGGTAAACATGAGAAAGTCAGCAATGTTTCAGGACTAGTGGCTGT